AGCGCTTGCCTTGCATGCATGAGGCCCTGGGTTCGATTCCTCAGCACCACATAAGCAGAAAAGGCTGGAAGTGGTGCTGTGACTCAAGTGCGATAGCCTTGAGCTGAAGGATTGAGGGACAGCGCTCAGGCCCAGAGTTCAAGCCCCATGACTGGCTCACACCTGCAATTCTCAGGAAGCTGAGATCTAAGAAGATTGATTCAAAGACAGTCGGGAGGGACCTTTTTTTAACAAGAAAAAAAGCCAGAAGAGGAGGCATGGATCAAGTAGTAATGCACCAGCCTAGAGCAGAAAAAAGCCAAGCAAGAATTTAAAGCCTTGGGTTCAAGCCCCAGTACCTGCACCAAAACAATCAAACAAACAAGAATCCTTTCTAGAAACTAGTTTGGTGATGGCTGGGAATGTGGCTCAGTGGTAGAGTGCTTGCCTTTGCATGCATGAGGCCCTGGGTTCGATTCCTTAGCATCACATAAGTAGAAAAAGCCAGAAGTGGTGCTGTGGCTCCAGTGGTAGAACGCTAGCTTTGAGCTGAAGAGCGGAGGGTCAGGCCCCATGACAAAAAAAAAAAAAAAGGAACTAGTTTGCTGAGAAAATATATCAAGAATGATATTTTTTTTTGGTCGGTTGTGGGGCTTTGAATTTTGGGCCTGGGCACTGTCCCTCAGGCTAGCACTCTACCACTTGAGCCACAGAGCCACTTCTGGTTTTCTGGTGGTTTATTGGAGATAAGGAGTCTCACAGTCATTCCTGCCTGGGCTGGCTTTGAACTGCACTTCTCAGATCTCAGCCTCCTGAGTAGCTAGGATGACAGGCGTGAGCCACCAACACCTGGCTTCAAAAATGATTTTTTTAGGGGCTGGGATGTTGGCTCAGAGGTAGAGTGCTTGCCTCGCATGCATGAAGCCCTGGGTTCAATTCCTTACTACCACATAAGCAGAAAAAAAGCCGGAAGTGCCGCTGTGGCTCAAGTGGTAGGGTGCTAGCCTTGAGCTGAAGAGCTCAGGGTAAGTGCCCAGGCCCAGAGTTCAAGATCCATGACTGAAAAAAATTTTTTTAAGTTTCTTTTAGTGTTAAAAACGTAATACGATCCAGGCACCAGTGGCTCACACCTGTAATCCTAGCTACTCAGGAGGCTCAGATTTGTGGATAGAAGTTCAAAGCCAGCCCAGGCAGGAAAGTCTGTGAGACTCTTATCTCCAATAAAAAAAAAACACTAGAAAACCGGAAGTGGTGCTGTGGTTCAAGTGGTAGAGCACTTGCCTTGAGCTGAAGAGCGCAGGGACAGCACCCAGGCCCAGAGTTCAAGCCCCACAACCAACAAAACAAAACAAAAAAACCCGTAATACCATGCCAAGTAATAAGAAAGAATAGCATTTTAAGAGTAAATATGTTTCTGCTTGTGAAGAAATTACAATGAATCAGGAGCAGGTGGCTCATGCCTATAATCCTAGTTATACAGGAGGCGATCCAGAGGTTCAAAGTTCAAAGCCAATCCAAGACAGAAAAATTCTTGAGACTCTCATCTCCAAAACATGGTCAGTAAAAAGTCAGGTTAGAGTCATGGCTCAAATAGTAGACTGCTAGAGAAGCAAGCAAACACCCAAGCCAAGCATAAGGCCCAACTACCAGAAAAAAAAGGAAAAAGACAAAATCAGACTACAAGATCTGCTTCATCTTTATGCATGCAAGTTGTAAACATAATTATGTTTTATTTTATAAAAAGAATTAAGTGAGTGTTTGGATCATTTTTGTAAAAGTTGCTAAACCATGGGACTTGGAAAGTAGCTCAGTGGTAGAGTGCTTGCCTTGCATGCAAGAGGCCCTGGGTTCGATTCCTCAGCATCACATAAGCAGAAAAAGTTGGAAGTGGCGCTGTGGCTCAAGTGGTAGAGCACTAGCCTTGAGCTGAAGAGCTGATGGACAGGGTCCAGAGTTCAGGCCCCACATCCAAAAAAAAAAAGTTGCTAAGCCAGAAATGGAGCTGTGGCTCAGGTGATAGAGCATCAGCTTTGAACAAAAAAAAAACCCTAAGGGACAGAGCCTACACCCTGAATTCCAACCAGTACTATCACCTAAATAAATAAATAAATAAATAAGGCTAGTTTCTAGTCACCTGGTAGATCATAGATCAATATAGTATGTTTTATTCAAGTCCTTTTTTTTGCCAATCCTAGGACTTGAATTTAGGACCTGGGTGCTGTCCCTCAGCTTCTCTTGCTCAAGGCTAGCACTCTACCACTAGAGCCACAGCAGAACTTCTAGCCTTTCTATGTATGTGGTGCTGAGGAATTGAACCCAAGGCCTCATGCATGCTACGCAAGCACTCTAGCAGCTGAGCTGCACTCGCAGCCTTTATTCAAATTGATTTTTTTTTTTTTTGGTCAGTCTCGGGGCTTGAACTCTGGGCTTGGGCTCTGTCCCTGGGTTCTTCAGCTCAAGGTGAGCACTCTACTACTAGAGCTACAATGCCACTTCCGGTTTTCTAGTGGTTTATTGGAGATAAGAGTCTCACGGACTTTCCAGCCTGGGCTGGCATTGAACCGCGATCCTCAGATCTCAGCCTCCTGAGTGGCTAGGATTACAGGTGTGAGCCACCAGCGCCCGGCTTTATTCAAATTCTTTAAGGAACTTGACCTACTATTGTCAGACCATAAAAATGTCCAAAGCCTCTTTTTCTGTGCCATAGGCTGTCTAATTTACATCTAAATGAAAAAGCTTTGAAACAAGGTAAGTCACCCCACTCCCCCAACTTGAAGGTTGGCTTTGAGGCTGATCTGATTAATAAGTTTAGTTAGAAAGGCTATCATTTTGTTAATTGGATTTGAGAAGCCACAGCCTCAGCTGAGTCCTCACAAAAATTAAGCCAAAGGTATCCCTAGAGGCATGCCTACCTTTAAAAGGAGCCAATCTTCAGATTACAATCTGAATCCAAACACAAATCAATTATTTTAAGTGTTTATGGGGAGATTGCTACTCTTCTCCCAGCCCCTACATTCTCTTTAACCTTCAGATAAAAGCAAAGATGCTTTTAAAAGTAGAATTCCAGCCAGACACTGGTGGCTCACACCTGTAATCCTAGCTACTCAAGAGAGATCTTTTGATCTAATGTTGGAGGCCAGGCAAGCAGGAATGTCTGAGACTCTTATTTGCGCCACCGAAAAGCCAGAAATGGTAGAGCACCAACCTTGAGTGGAAAAGGCTAATAAAGCTGAGGAATGGTACCCAGGACCTGAGTTTAATCCCCAGTACTGAGGGGGTGTGGTGTGGGGTGGAGGCTCTTCCAATCTGAATGTAAATCCCTGTGAGAACCAATTGCTTTGAGAGTTTTGGGTGAGAGTCTGTCTTTTCCTCACATCTTTCTTTCTTGGAGATGAGTGTGGAACTAGGGAACCCCAGCCTTAAGCAAAAAAAAGCTAAGAGACAGAGCCTAGACCCTTAGTTCCAGACTCAGTACTATCACCAAAATAAATAAATAACACCAGAGAACTGTATGTCGAAGAACAGTAAAAATAGCTGGGCACAGGTGTGAGCCACCTAGCCACTCAGGAGGTTGAGATCTGAGGATCCCGGTTCCAAGCCAACCTGGGCAGGAAAGAGATTCTCCACTCTCCCCCGCTTCCTTCCCCCTCTTCTTCCCTGCACTTCTCTCCCTTCTATAACGTTTGAGAACTCATGGTTTAGTGTGCTTTCTCTTCTCTCTCTCTCTTCTCTTTCATGCCAGTCCTGGGGTCTGAGTTCAGGGTGTGAGCCCTCTCTCTGAACTTCTCACTTAAAGTTAGCACTCTCTACCTCTTGAGCCACAGCCCCACTTCCGGCTCTTTGGTGGTTTACTTGGAGATAAGAGTCTCACAGACTTTCCTGTCTGGGCTGGCTTCGAACCCTGATCATCAGATCTCAGCCTCATAAGTAGCGAGGATGACGCCCTTTCCTTTCCTCCTCCCTCTCCTCTTCCTCCTCCTCCCACCCACGCCTGGCTCCATCTACTGCACGTGGGGCGCTACCTAAACCCATCCGGTGGTTAGTCCCACCCAAAGCAGGACTTCACAGATTGAGAACCTCACAGGCACATCCGGGACTCGGAGGGGGCGTGCCCTCGAGGGGGCGGAGTCTAGATTCAAAGGCCCCGCCCCGTCCACCCTGCCGCGTAGCTCGGAGTATCCCCGCGGCCCGCCAGGGGTCGCCGGCTGCGCGAGCGGATTCCTCTCTGATGAAGCCCCGCCCACTTTAAGTTCTCGCGAGAGAAAGCGCGAGGCCTGCCGGGAGATCCTCACGGCCGTGCGTAGGCCGTCCAAGATGGCAGCCTTGGAGGAAGAGTTCACGTTGTCCACCGTGGTCCTCAGTGCTGGCCCTGACGGACTCCTGGGCGTGGAGCCCAGCAACAAAACAGACCAGTTTCTGGTGACGGACAGCGGCAGGACGGTCGTGCTCTATAAGGTGAGGGGATGGCAGCGTCCCCGCTGCCTGTCTCCCCCGCACCGTCCGCTCGGGGCCCGGATGCGGGGGCTGGCGCTCCTCACACACTCCGCAAGCGTCGAGTAACGGGCGTCTGCCCCGGCCCGGGACGCTGGACGAGGGCTGGGGCCCGCCGGAGCCACGGTGCACGTGGGGCGGGCGGGGAAAGCTGGGGAGCCTCCGCGGTCGTGCGCGTCTCGCAGACGGCGCCCCGCTAGGGCCCCCCTCGGGGTCTTGGGCACCCGGCGGCTCGGAGATGGGGCCACCGAGGGTGACGCTGACAGTGGGGAGCCTGAGCGAGTCGTTT